TGAAAATGAATCGAAGTTTTGGGGGCGTGGTTTATTCCTTTGTCGGTGAAACTAACGGACGACTGAGGGAGTGTCAAAAGGAAAGTGATGCAATGACTTCATAGTACGCAAATTATGAGATAGCCATACCGAGCAAGCGCTCGAAAAAAAACTACGTAAGCGCCAAACATTATTTTTATTTATTTTAACAAAACTTCGTTATGGATTAAAAAACTGGTTTATGAGAACTTAGATATGAGTATTTACTATGGCTTAAAAATAATTACATGAACTTATTCGTAGGAATATTGTGGTGTCATGGAGAAATGTAAATAATTAGAGCCTACTTTGCAATTTTTTTCTATCGAGAAAATTTAAATGATATCGTGTTTTCCTTTTATGCAATCCAAGGTCATATAGTAAAAAATCTTATACCAAAATTTTGGTTTGTGATATATAACACTAAAAAAATATGTTAAATAGAAAAACTACCAAATTTTCGAGGTATCACCAGGCCGGCAACGCATTTGCAATTCCAGTGGTGTGGCGTTGTTTATGGGCGGCGGTAGTCATCACCATTAGGTGAACCGCATGCTCCTCAGCTCATATAAAAAACGAGACGAGATATCAACTTTTTCATAACTATGCACGAAATTAGATTGCATTAGTTGTGGAGGGATATACGAGGGGTGATCCAAAAGTAATGATAATCGGTTACTTCAGGTCCACATAAAAATCCTACAAAAAATATTTTTTGCTTGCTTATATACTTCACTACGTCAACCTAAAAAAATCATATAAATAGATCACGATTTCCGGGAGATACATTCATTTGAATACGAACTGTCAAAGAGATAACATCAACATGGAGAAAAACGAAATTAGAGCTGTCATCAAGTACCTCTGTTTGAAAGAAATGTCTTCAAAAGACATAGACTTCGTGGAAACATTGAGGGATTCTGCTCCTCCATATTCTACAGTTGCACGCTGGGCCAAGGAGTTTAAACTGGGCAGAACATCCACTGAAGATGAAAGAAACGGGATTCGAACTGCTCGAACACCCTCCCTATTCGCCAGATCTAGCTCCTAGTGACTTCTACCTCTTTCCTCGGCTCAAGGAACGCCTCCGAGGCAAGAAATTCGAAGACGATAGCGAAGTAATGGCCGCTGTTGAAGCGTTTTGGTATATAACGGCAAATTTATACTTTAATATTTGCATAAGGCTATCACTAATAACTGCCAGAAAAAAATACCCCCTATAACTATACTTTTAATATAATACGCCAGAATTTTGTTTATTTACGTTTTAACTTTGATTATTAAAACAATAAGTCTAAATCTGATGTAATAATGGAGGGGATGATTTTGAACATGTTTTGAATGACTGCATAATAAACTAAATACACATAGCGAGAAGCCCGCGTCCAAATTTACATCATATTGCTAAATCGGCATAGATGGGGGAATTTTGAGTCTAATTGGGAGTTACCTGCGATGAGAAATGAATCTTGGACAATCTTAAGCGTTCATCGTAGTGCTTAAATCCAGGTGTCCAAGCCAAACAGTGATCGATTTCCAGATTTCGATTAGCCAGAACAAGCTTATGGTAACAGTTTGGTGGTCTACTGTTAGTTTTCGCTATAGCTTCTTGCATTGCTAAGCGTTATTGTCAAAATTGCAAATGATAATAGTGAAGATGGCACATCAAGCATTGGTGAAGCAGTTCATATTGCTTCTTTATGACGACTCTCGGCCATGACATGACATGAATGTTTTGTGGAATTAGGGAAAATATGAATGAATATAATTGTGTGTGTACGTGTGTGTGTGCGTGTGCGTGTGCGTGTGCGTATTCGTGTGCGTGCGTGCGTGCGTGCGTGTGCATGTGCGTGCGCGCGTGTGTGTGTGTGTGGGTGCGTGCGTGCGTGCGTGCGAGTATGTGTGTGTGTGTGTGTGTGTGTGTGTGTGTGTGTGTGTGTGTGTGTATGTGTGCGCGTGCGCGTGCGCGTGCGCGTATGCGTGTGTGTGCGTGCATGTGCGTGTGTGTGCGTGTGCGTGTGCGTGCGCGTGCGCGCGGTGCGTGTGCGTGTGCGTGCGCGTGCGTGCGTGCGTGTGCGTGCGCGTGCGCGTGCGCGCGCGTGTGTGTGTGTGTGTGCGTGCGTGCGCGTGAGTGCGTGCGTGCGTGCGTGCGTGTGTGTGTGTGTGTGTGTGTGTGCGTGCGCGTGCGCGTCTGCATGTGTGTGCGTGCCGTGCGTGCGTGCGTGCGTGCGTGCGTGCGTGCGTGCGTGCGTGCGTGTCTGCGTGTGTGTGCGTGCGTGCGTGTGTGCGTGTGTGTGTGTGTATGTCTGTATGTGCGAGTGCGTGCGTGTGTATGTGCGCGTGCGAGCGTGCGTGTGAGCGTGCGAGCGTGCGTGTGGTGCCGTGCGTGGTACTGTGTGTGTGTGCGTGAGAGTGTGTGTGTGCGTGAGAGTGTGTGTGTGCGTGAGAGTGTGTGTGTGCGCGCGAGAGTGTGTGTGTGCGTGAGAGTGTGTGTGTGCGTGAGAGTGTGTGTGTGCGTGAGAGTGTGTGTGCGTGAGAGTGTGTGTGTGTGTGGAGTGTGTGTGTGTGGGGTGAGTGTGTGTGTGTGTGTGGTGTGTGTGTGTGTGTGTGTGTGTGTGTGTGTGCGCGTGCGCGCGTATGTGTGTGTGTGCGCGCGTGCGCGCGTATGTGTGTGTGCGTGTGCGTGCGCGCGCGCATATGTCTGAATGCGTGATTGCGTGCGTGCGTGCGTGCGTGTATGTGTGTGTGTGTGTGTGTGTGTGTGTGTGTGTGTGTGTGTGTGTGTGTGTGTGTGTGTCGCGTGCGTGCGTGCGTGCGTGCGTGCGTGCGTGCGTGCGTGCGTGCGTGCGTGCGTGCGTGTGCGTGCGTGCGTGCGTGCGTGCGTGCGTGCGTGTGTGTGTGTGTGTGTGTGTGTGCTGTGCGTGCGTACGTGCGTGCGTGCGTGCGTGCGTGTAAAGAACAAACCAGATTATGCCGGAGTCAATGAGGCTGATAAAATACTCCTTTACTAATTTCTTAAAGATGTCAATTGATCGCACCTCATGGATATCTAAAGGCTGGGCATTTTAGTACTGTACAATCTAGACCGCAAAAGATTATTGCAAGAAGTATGTTTCATACAAAAGCAAAACATAAACATATTGTCGAATTATTAATCTCCTCCTTTTTTGAAGTCGTTAAAAATTTGCTTTCTCGAAGTACGAAACTCCCATTGAAAATTTGAACTTTTCCTTCAAGTGAAAAAAGTATAAAGGTGAAATAAAAATTATACAAATTAATTAAATATTGCATGCCTTAAGGCTTTTAGTGGTTTGTGGTGCAGATTTATCAAGTCCGCATGGAGGCGTAAACACGATAACTTTTGAAAATATTAATTGTTCAACTTAATGTATCATGTGGGAAGCCATGGAACGTAAATATAATTTTGTTTTGTTTAGTTATAATTAATATTTTTCGACTGAGAAATTCCGAAATTTTCGGCCTTTAAGCAGCCTTGTAATAATATATTTTACTAAATATAGACCAGATACACTTTGACTCACTGCGGGCTCGGCCACCGTCGTTAGTGGATATCGTTTGTTTACAACGGCTTGTGATGAAAAATATCGATCGCTGTAGAATTTCAATATATTCGATACAAAATATTCATTCAAAACCAAGGTTATATGAATAAAGTTGATACTTACTTACTTATCTTCACGCACAATCCCTAACGGGGTAGCCAGAGAGAACAGATCGCCAAGTGTCACGATCCTTACATACCTCTTTCGCTTCTTTCAGGTTCATTAACTTCTTCATACATGCACGTCTAGGTATCCGAGTACTCTTGACCCTCTCCTCTTCGAGCAATTTGCTCACATGGTCTTCGAAAGTTAGTCTCGGTCTACCTCGACACCTTTTAATATTTACTTTCGCTCTATATATTTTCTTCACCATTCGGTCTTCACTCATTCGTTCAACGTGCCCAAACCATTGAAGTACGTCCCTATCAATTTTTGTGATAAGGTCATCTTTCAATCCTGCCATATTGCGAATCTCTTCGTTTCGCTTTCGGTCGGCTATGGTAACGCCACACATTTTACGAAGAGATCGCATCTCCACTGCTTCAACTTGTTTTATGCTTCTTCTCATACCCAGTTTCGCTGCCATATAACAAAGTCGGTACCAACACTGCGTTATGTATTGCAAGGCGTGCACTCTTCACCACGCCTTGCCTTTTTTACTAATGCATTCAGGGCACCATTGACTTTGTTTCCGGCAGCGACACGCCTATCCACATCTAAATCACATCTTCCATCCCGGCTGAAAGCACTCCCCAAGTATACAATTTCATTTATATACAATTTCATGAATAAAGTTGATGAGAAAAAAATATTAACGAGTCGGGTAAAAAATACTAGTTTTTACGATAATGTCTGACTACAAATACCTAAAAATTTAAGTAATATTAAAGTTGATTTCTGAACGTTTTAAGATCATTCTGTTAAAAAAAATCAATTAACAGTGATAAAAAATTGAACCTCAATAATAACTAACAGTAAAAATAAAAAAATATTTTCTATTCTTTATTGAGCATTTTTTTCTACATTTTTTTACGATCACATGAGCACTATGAGTGTATGAGTCACATGCACTTTTGTATTTTCCAAACTTTTTTTTATTGACGTTTGACATATAATTATCGGAAAATTAGAAGTGATGGTACTTAATAAGGTTATTTGTGAAAACTTGTGTGTATTTATAATACATACTTTAACAAATTGACATATAACATGAGCACTTAAGGCATGCACATTTGCCAAAAGTTTTTTAAATCAATTATTAGTTTTCTTTTTGTAAAAAAAAATATTTTAATTTTCTCGTACAAAACGGTAATTTTGTAGGTAAAATACCTAAAACATAACGCCAATCACGTGTTTACCTTATTTAATTTAATATATGTTTTATCATTGTGTACACCAAGTAGTGATTGATTTCGGCAGACCGGAATCGGCGGAGACTGCAGAGTTCCGTGTCGAGTGCGGAGACGTGATCCTAGTAGCGACCGACGGCGTGTTCGACAATGTGCCGGAGCCAGTGCTGGTAGCGGAGATGAGACGCGCGCAAGGCCTAGAGGGCGACGCGCAACGGTTACAGGCAGTCGCTAACTCTATTGCGTGGATGGCGCGAAATCTATCTTTCGACGGCTGCTATATGTCACCATTCGCCAAAAGTGCGCGCCAAAACGGCATTGACGCTATAGGTATCGTTTTATGTTTTTCTATTTTTTTGCTTTTTAATAGTAAGTAGGTCTTCTAGTAACAAAATTATTTTTCAATTCTTACGCATTTTAACATTCTTGAAAACCCAACATGAACCTAAAAAGAAAAAAGTTAAGTTCCAGCCTTTATACGTCCCACGGCTGGGCAAAGATCTCCTTTCATTTCTGAGGCCTGTTGGCTAATTTCACATATTCTCGAAATATTTTATTCGACAGACATGCAGGTTTCCTCGCGATGTTTTTACCTTCACCGCGGATCACGTAGTAAATCAGCATTTAAAATTATTGTTATTATCAATTTCATTATTGCTAGCGAGGATCGAAATCATTGTTTTTACGTCGTGCGGTTAGTTTTTAAGCTACCTAAGGCTAAGTATCTTCTATACTATAATGAAACTCTAATATGACGATTTCTGTACAATGTACTATTTTAATTTTAATTGGGGTATATTATATTATTGTATAATATTTATAGTAATACAGAGCCGTGGTAGCTGAGATGGATAGCGCTCGCTGTAAATTTCACAGTACGCGAGCAAACCGGGTTCGATCCCCGCCGGCACCAATGAAATTGTTAATTGCAATTTTAAGTGCTGATTTACCACGTGCTCGGCGGGGAAGGAAAACATCGCGAGGAAACCTGCATGTCGGAGAAATAAGAAAAATAAATATTTCGAGGACATGTGAAGTTCGCCAACACGCATTGGGGCAGCGCGGCGGACAATTCTTTGCCCTAAAACCCTCTCAGAAATGAGCGGAGGCCTGTGCCCAGTAGTGGGACGTATATAGGCTGTAACTTTACTTTTTTTACTTTTAAAGTAATACGTGGTTAAGTGGTATAAAGTATTTTTTACATACCTGATGTGCCAAATGAACTTGCAATTCTGGATGGTAAGTTGTTCCTGCAGTCATTGCAGCGTTCTTCAAATAAAGGGAGCTACAGATTTGTTGTCATCTCTGAGGTTTAAAATAGAATGCCTCACGGTCTGTTATTATACTGGTTATCTATAAACTACAGACCAGAGCAGCACGGCAGTGCATGCACTGTTATTTGTCGACCTTGACTACACGCTGAGCACTTTGTTGTCAGAATGTCCCTTACGAAATTGCTGAAAAATAACCAAGGATCGAAAGTTCATTTTAAAATTCTGAAACACAAATCCAATTATTTACTGGTGATGAAGAGCAACATTATTAGCGCGAAGCTGCCGGTGAATATAAGTTAACCACCTAGATGAATACATGTTAACTTGCATGTTTTTGGAAATATATTAAGGTCAGAAAGTGATACTGTTACAAAAAAAGAAGGCGCTAATTCTACTGCACTAATTGTTGGTGTGACTCTTTTTCTTTGTAGGACTTTGTCCGGATGGGTACCACCTTCTTACATCTTTCTGCCACCAAATACCAGTCTCGCAGTACTCGCATTGCTGCGTTCCGGTCTTAAGGCGATACCCCGACCAAAACCTTGCGATAGTGCGTTATTCAGAGATGATTATCTCATTAGTTATGAGAAGTAAACTACATCTAGAAACACATTATTAATGTTCGATATCCTATCATCACACTCCATGTTCTAATTTGTGTTTATGTGTTATAAATACATTTAAAATCAACTTTTAAAAAAGGACTAGAATTATTGTTTACATGCATCTGTTGCTAATGGCAACGCTCTAATCATTTGAGGATTACACTAATGGATAGATAATTTAAAAAAAACTATATTATTCACGTTTTATTTAATTTATTAAGTTCGCTTTTCTTTTTTAATTGAAATAATTCCAAAATTTGGGCGTATTTCTTACGCGATATATTGTAGCGAGAGCGCGTGAATTGTATAGGACCGAACGCTCAAGGTCGTTCGCTAGGAGTAACGCCTTAAGAATATTGAGAGCCAGTATAATTTATAGGATAGGAGGCATTTCATCTTAGTCCTCTAAGGTGACAAAGTATTTGGAGACTTCTTTGTTTGAAGTTGGTTATAACGTATCGTGGACGAATGACGAAATGCAATAGCACCATATGATCAATCATAAATTTCATCAAAATCAGTCGAGCCATTTTTGAGTTTAAGTGAGGCTAACGGACAGCAATTGATTTTATATATAGAGATTATACGTTATTACATAGTATTCATTACTTATTACGCTTTTTCTATTTCTCTAATACACAATAATTCTATTTTTTTTCCAGGAGGTAAACCTGACGACATAACGGTACTACTCGCAATTGTAGCACTATGAAATGTTCCAACAATATTTGTAGTCTTTGAATGTAGAACATCTTGTAAAATTAGCAAAAAATAGTACTAGATAATCAAATGAAAATATTTTGTTTTGTGATTACAAAATTTGTTAATTGAATTGTCATTGCAGTGCAAGATATTACGTTATTTAATGAATGACAGCCTCGGCACTAGTCACTCGCTGTGTGAGTTTGGAGCTGTGTTAGTAATATACCGTCATTTATTTTATTACATGCGTATATGTGTATGTATTTCTCCGTAGGTAAAAAAAAAAAACTTTTAAAAATATTTGATTTATATATGAATGTTTGAAATTTATGATAAGAAAGAGACCAACAATTACTGAAATACAAACCAAAATACTGTAACATAATATTGATAATATGCTTCTACAACATGTAACAAAAACCTTGTGGTTCCCGTTAAGTGCGTTATCAGAATCAGTATCCAAGCGTATAGAAATATTTTTTTTTCATTTAAAAAATTAATTTTAATAAAGAAAACTTAAATTGCAAATTGTATGTGGTTTATTATCTCTGCATTGGCCGAGGAGTAAGAGGATTGTCAAACACCCCGCATTACCGATACTCGTTTGAATTAGAGGAAATAAAACCACATACAATTTGCAAATAATTTTTTTTCCATTAAAATAATATTTTTAAATGTGTTTTTTGAAAAAAAAAAATATTTCTATACGCTTGGATACTGATTCTGATAACGCACTTAACGGGAACCGCAGGGTTTTTGTTACATGTTGTATATTGTATAATGATCTGAGAGTGTAACTTTTGTAAATATATATTTTGTGACATGTTTATTATTTTTGGTTTCATATAATTTATATTCATATGTATATAAGGAATACACAAAAATAATCAGTGTGTAGCGTCACATGATTGATAGTGGATCACTCTTTTTTCAGATTTCCCTAGATAATTAACCCGATAACTTATGTCTGAAAATTGACATGATACTGGGATATCGCATTTCGATATACTTTCCCATTACATCTTTAGGTGTATAATAAATATATAATCGAACGTGCTTTAAAAAATTGAATTTTTTCAACTATGTGCTATGGGTTGTAAACACCGGGAATGCCCTATGGTGAACAACCGATCGATGGATTCTCGAGTCGAGGCGTAATAAAGGAGTTTTAGTTACGAATTAACTTCCTAATTATATTCAATAAAAACGTAACCAACATTCTGTTGTTTCTAAACATTTTTGTTTGTCTCTTGCTTCTAGACTAAGAACAAATAGTAAACAAAAATAAATTATGACACACCATCAGAAATGTTTAGGACTGTTAAGAAATTAGAAGATCAACGATCGTTGTATAAAATGCTTCATCACCTCTGCTACAGTTTCACTTCTCAATCCTGTGGAGGACTCCAAGATAAAAAATCTAGGTGGTGATCTTAAATGCATCCAAGAGTTTGCCTTTTTGCGAGAAATACTATTACTGGAGGAAGTACATATCCTCCTGCACAGTTTTTCTGGACAGTGCTTTTAGATGAGACTGCTACGTCTCATCTAAATTACAAATGTGCGTGCCGCCTGACGGGTTGGGCTGCGGCCAAAGACGTTTTGAAAGTTATTGAAAATATGTTTTTTTTTACTGTTTCCTTGTTTAGGAATAGAGAGTGCACTTGTGCTTGCGCATACACTTGGGCACTATAACCCTGTCCTGCGCCGATGGCTAGCCTCCGTTGAGGCTGGCCGCCGTGACCGAAATTCGGTCTGTAGGACATTATTATTATAATTAAAACAACAGTGTTAATCAAAAGTATTTATTATTAATTTGGGAAATCATTGATAATGTTTCACTGTTTCTAATTGTTGTACCTTGTTTAAAACTGTTATTTGCGTGTTTGTGCAAGTATTTATGGCTTTTTAATTATTGTCTTTGGTCCGATCTACGCAGAATGAACTAACTGTCGGTACACACTAAATAAATAAAACGGGATAAAATCCGTAAAAGTAGTTTTAACCAATGTATAGTGTCCGCGTAAATATAAGAAATCACTATACATGAGATTTGCCGATGTGTACGTGGTCCAGGGTACCCCATTAAACTACTGATCCACGGTTAAGCGTGTGACTCTACGTGATATACTGAGAAGCTTTAAGTATACTTTATACTTACTGCTTTAAGGTTTTCATCAATATTTTAATAGAAAATTTGGTTTGGAATCTCCATATTTGTCAAAAATGTTTTCTTAATTTTGTATAAGGCTCTTTTGAATGTGACATGAATGTATTGATGTATGAAGACTGAACTAGTTTTATTATTTTGTTATAAATGTAAATTTGTAATAATACGTTACTATTTTTCGAAGCCATTTCAGTTCTATGTAACATTTTATGTTTTTAATTCTCGACCTTGTAATGTTCATTGAGATAATTACATTTTGTTCGACATCGCCCTCATTACAGAGTACCTACTTTAAATTTTACTTATCTTACATCAAAACTTGTTCGTTTTGTTTTCATTATTTTCATTTACTACTGCTATTATTTTAACACTTTTCTCTGTCCCCTGTACTACAATAGTAAGACAATAGCAATGACTATAGGTCATTGCTATTGTATTACTATTGTTTCTGAAACCCGGACTGTGAAAGTGTTAAACTTATAGAACTTGGTTATAAATTGTTAGTTTATGTGGCATTTAATGATTTTAAATTAAATGCCAATAACAGCTTGATTTTTGTACCTTTTTAAAGGACAAAGTAAAGTATAATGTTGTGTAGGTTGCAGGTTTCGTTTTGAGGATGTAAGTATACCTACATTAATTATAATACAATAAGATCATTTTTTTTGTAAATTTTAAAGTGTGTCTGAGGCTACAATATTCGTATATGTAGCTACTCGCATAAAAGTCATTTGTTAATTTATTTGATTTTGGAACCGTTCACATATTTTGTTTATTTAATTAGTGTTATTAATAGTCATCATTCATACATGCCTTGAATGTAAGATACTTACCCTCTACTTACCTACTTCATCATTGTTTTTAGCTTAAAAGCTTAACCGAAATGAGGCGCGCTTCGCTCTAAAATTTTATGTAAGTAGATTTTTTAAGGCATAAATAAAAATTATGAATAAAGCTGATTTTATTTTAGCAGTTGTTTTTCTGATTTTGGTGACGTTATATGCAATGTTAAAAAACGTCCTAATTCTTTCTATGTATTTTCTGAAACTTCGTGGCCATAACACAATGAGTATATTTATGTAAAAAATATGACGAATAACTCTTTTTACAAGCAAAATTAATAACTTTGCATAAGAACGCGGCAGAGGTTGAAGTGCTCATATAAACGAAATACTTACGAAAACTATTTAATAATTATATATTATTATATTTAAAATAAAAGCTATTTTTGAATACCGATGATAATTGTCCTAGATTCCGCGACTACGTCCGCGTGTAGTCGAAATTAACTATATTCGTAAATACATAATGAAATTTTTCTTCCTTCAGTGCAGTTATATTAAACGTGTTGATTTATATACTGTCTCCGTAAAAAACCATTCAATTAAAAGTGCTTCCTTTTCTTCGAAACATCATAATAGCGCAGAGGCTAAGTGCTCGCTGTTAATTTCACAGTAAGCGGTGAAACCGAAGCTCAGGTCTTCGTAGGCACCAATGACACTGTTAATTGTAATTTAAGTGATGATTTACCACTTACGCGACGACGAATGAAAATATGTTGAGAAAACTGAGGAAATAAAATATTTCGAAGACATGTGAAGTGCGTCAATAAGCACTGAAGCAGCGTCACTTCTTCAATTTCTTTAGGATTCTCTGAAATGAGAAGACGCCTGTGTCCACCAGCAGTGAGACGTAATTAGGTACCCATAAAGGCTGTAACTTAGTTATTTAAAGAAATTAATATCACAAGATAGTAACAAGAATGTATATATAGCATGTGCCAAATTGATTGAGAAAAACGGACAATGTCCTTTCGGTCGTTTAACCAGGGGTTACAAACCTTCAATATATAGGCAAACTTTATATGTAATACTTTCTTTATAATGATTTTTTAATATAATGATTGAGATAATATATATTTATTAACTATTATTAAAAAGTTATGTAAAAGATCGCTGTAGAAGAAAAATCATATATTGTTATAAAGTACTTTATTCATTTAACAACAAAAAGCATTCATTTATAACACATATAAAGATTCAAGTGATAACGACCCCGAATAAGTACGTACTTATTCAAAAGATAAAACTTTATTTTCAATATTATAAAAGAACTTTATTTTTATGCGGTGCAATCGTCACTCGTATCTCGGAGCGGCCCAAAAAAGTTGACGCATCTCTGGCTCCATTGTCAAGTTTATTTTGGAGCGAACTGACTTAACGCACGTTTTGTTTATTTTAAAGGGATGAATTTGCAAAAGCTCAATATGGTGATTATATTGCTTCAAATATTTTTTTTAATATGAAACTTATTAAATGATTTGCTGCGTTACTTACCATAAATTGAAATATAAAAAATAACACATTTTTCGCGATGTAAGATTTTACGATGTTTATAGGAACCTCAGACAATATTATTTAAGAGACAAAACAACGAAACATATGTGCTGACCTAGAAGTGTGAATAATATCAATATTTAAATATTGTTATCACATCTAAATTGAGATTTTGTAAGTTACGCCTTTTGACACTCGGCTCATATCTGTGGTCATTGTCCGTTTTTCCCAAAACTGAGCCATGTAGATCGTTGAGATTTCTCCGAACTTTGGGCGGTTCATTGAGTCCAGAGCCAAAGCAGTCGCAAAGAAACTCGGTTTTCTATCAAAGTTGCGGCGTTACTTCACACCGAGGCCGCTTCTAACTTTATATAAATCGTGTATGGAGTACTGCTATCATATATGGACCGGTGCTGTAAAATGCCACCTAGAAGCGTTAGACTAAGAGGAGAGATGTGTTAAGAGGCTCATTGGAAACCTTGATTTGGTTGAAACCAATCTTGT